GTGGGTACCAAAGGCAAGTTTTGGGGCCTACCCCTGGGGGTATTATCCCCATGTTGTTGTTGTATTCCAGGGGAGGCAGGTATAGAGTTAGGGCCTGAGTCAGAACTTGAATTCATTCATTTGATGTGGCAATCACTCTTGTTGGTACCAAGAGGTCTGTTCCCACCACAGTCACCTGTGGGGGCGCTATCGCGCCAAGGATCTAGGGAGGTCATCCCGGTAGGCAGGCAGTGATTCATTGGGTTCCGTCGAGGTATTTACACCTATGTATATTAAATAGATTGTGACAAATAGTCGCCACAAAATGTAATAATTGTTTCACAATAAATGTGTAAAATTAATATTTGTTACTATTCATTGCATCTGGGATTAATTGCATTTATCACCATATTGTGATAAATGCTTTTAATACCAGTGCAAGAGCGATAACTCGTGCGTTCTTGGTAGTGGTTAAACATTATTGAGACCATGAGTTTTAAATAGAGGACGCAATATAATCAAGCACCTTATGACCCCGATTTTCATAGTCTACCGAAAAAGTTAGAAGGGCAAACATGTTGCAAAATTTCACCCACCCACTTTCCCTAAAATATGTGTACAGATTTTTGCTGCTTTCTCTTCTGTAATTTCAGTGACAGAAGCCTATTCTTACATGGAAAGAGATGTGTATGTGGAACACCCCAGCGGTTGGAATCATTAGCAAAGAAAGGATGTGGTCATTATGTATATGGTGGGACCATTTGGTGTCAATTGGGCATTTTCTGTTGAAATCAATGTAAATGATTCAATCCTGAGTTTTATTGGACCTTTCTATGGTGTGATACATAATCATTACTTCAGTGAAATTGGTGATCATTGATGATTATGTGTTTACATACAGTGTTACTGTACAGTGTTACTTTTAATAAGTATTGTAAGCAAGTATAGCTTGTAAATATATATTGGGAATTTTCTAGCTTTGGGATTATGGTAAAGTTTCTTAAGTCACAATCTGGGATGGGGGCGGTGGAATTCGGGGATTACCACGACTGAGGAATTCTCTCATGTCTGGCTCAAAACTCTGGGTAATCTATCCTCAGTACTGGGGAGGATTAATTTGGGGTTACCTCAGCGGTACCTGAGGGACCAGCTTGATCTTTGTGGGTACCAAAGGCAAGTTTTGGGGCCTACCCCTGGGGGTTTAATCCCCATGTTGTTGTTGTATTCCAGGGGAGGCAGGTATAGAGTTAGGGCCTGAGTCAGAACTTGAATTCATTCATTTGATGTGGCAATCACTCTTGTTGGTACCAAGAGGTCTGTTCCCACCACAGTCACCTGTGGGGGCGCTATCGCGCCAAGGATCTAGGGAGGTCATCCCGGTAGGCAGGCAGTGATTCATTGGGTTCCGTCGAGGTATTTACACCTATGTATATTACATAGATTGTGACAAATAGTCGCCACAAAATGTAATAATTGTTTCACAATAAATGTGTAAAATTAATATTTGTTACTATTCATTGCATCTGGGATTAATTGAGAATTGAACATGAATTGATGGAATATCAATTTATAAATAGAAAACAATCCCAGCGTTTATTTCAAAAAAATACATTTAACACATTACATGTAGGAATTAATCGGTTTCTTTTTTAAAGATACATGTACACTTTTATAAAGTTATTGGAAAAAGATCACTTCTTAATACTGAAGCCAGGATGCAAATGGTTCGTAAAGAAATAAAACAAAATTTAGAATGAAAGACAAGTTAAATACAACATATGGATGATCTAGTTAATTGTCTACTCAAGGGTTTTTGTTGTTGTTGTTTTATATTATCGTCATATAAATCTCAATTATCTACTTTATCCAAGTTGTCGTTTCTGTTGACACTTATATTAACTACTGCGAATCGTTGGCAGTAGAACAGTGTAGAATTAAGGAACACAAAGAACAAATACAAAAAAAAAATTGTGTTCATTGACAAATTACATCGATTTACGTTTATTTTTTTCTTAAAATTACGGATTTTTTCCTGCACGTTTTTAAATAAAATAACATCCTGACCATTTCAAAATTTCTACAATTTGTCAATATGCGTTCTTGTAAACCAAGTGTAAATCTTATGAGCTCATGAAAATGAAGTGAACACTGTTCAAAAATGAAATGGCTTTAAATTCAACAAGTTTATTATTCACTTGCACGGGGGAAGATAAGAATATGCAATAAAAATATTTATGCTAAAACCTCACTGTAAATAAAAAAAAACCTCTATTTATTTTCATAACTCATGCCAAAAACATGTTTAAGTGTAAAATACTTTTCTACAACTAGACAAAGAAATTATGTAAAAATGTAAATAAAATGCCATGACGGGTTATATTATTGGTTGAAAAAAGAAACATGAGATATTTGATATAAATCAGGGGGCATATAAAAAGGGATTCGTTCAAAATTAAAATTTCCTTCTTCTTTATTTATAAATTATGTCGTGTAAGACTGACTGCATAATAGGAATCCTTATGGAGCGTACCAATTGCGCCCCGTTATTAGCAGACATTTTTTCTATTCATATGAAGCAGAATGTGTCCAAAATCTTATACGTGAAAAGAAGAAAACACTTGCTGTGGGCTTTAACTCGACATTAAATATATCGACGACGTATTATCAATTAACAATGGTTATTTCTATTCTTAGGTCGATACGATATATCCCGGTGAGCTTGAGATAAAAGATACCACAGAGTCTGATACATCTGTTTCATATTTGGATATTTTACTTGAAAAAGACGTTAATGGTAATCTAAATACCAAGCTTTATGATAAACGTGATGACTTTAATTTTTCAATCGTCAACTTCCCTTACTTATGCAGCAATATACATTCATCACCTGCATACGGGGTTTATATCTCTCAGTTGATTCGATACGCCAGAGCATGCTCTACGTATGTACAATTTCTAAAACGAGGTAAATTATTGACAAACAGGTTGATGAAACAAGAATATCAGCAGTCTCGTTTAAATTATCATTTCGTCAGTTTTATGGTCGATACAATGACCTTGTCAGCAAATACAATTTATCATTGAGTCAAATGCTGACTGACGTTTTTCATACTAATTGTTAAGCCATTATTTACACACTGAATTGTCGAGGGATTTTTCCGTTATTTCCCTATCATAACAAGGAGCACACGGCGGGTATGACCGGTCGGCAGGGGATGCTCAGTCCTCCATGGAACCTGATCCCACCTCTGATGTTCTGTAGGTCTGTGTTTGCTCTGCTCCTATTTTATAATGTTTAGTGGACTTTTGAGCTTGAATACTGTTCTTTATCGTCATATATTTCATGAAAAAGACTTCCAAAAAATGCAAACAATCAAGGATGAGATCTGAATAGAATTTTACGTAAATTTTACTCAGCCCTCCTGCCATAGTCCTCAAATTTCCCAGTACAGATTTTTTATTATTATTATTATTAATATTTATTTAATATTCATTTTTAATTTTATATATATATATATATATATATATATATATATATATATATATATATATATATATATATATCCAAAAAATGAAAAGAAATATCACAGTGTCCGGTAATTAATATGAAAATTAAAAATAACAAGGCAACAATGTTAGTAAAACTAACACTTTTATATAAAATATATATATTTATTTATTTATTTATTTATTTATTTGGTAATGAAGAAATTCAAACATGAGAAATGTCTTGTCTCTAAGAAGCACATACTATAAAAGACTTCAAAAATAACACTGCTGAATCAAAGTCATTTTTCTTGTATTCCGTATTTATACATAAGGTTGCAAATTTAACGATTAAAATTTAAGCGGGCTACAATAAAACCTCTACCTTAAGCAAAAATTAGAACCCCGCTCAAAATTCTTGATATATGTGATTATTTTCGTTTTGCAATAGTTTACGTAAAAGTTGACTTGTTTTGTCTCTATCTTTACTTACTATACTTTACGAAAAAAAGACTGACAATGAACTATAGTATCATTTGAATTTTTAATTTAAAAGAAGACAAAGAGGGACTGGATAAGATGTGATTAAGACTTGTTTATCATTGCATCTTGCTCATAGACATGACAAAGCGGTTACATTTCCCATTTTTTTAAAATGAAAACAAAGTCATGATACATATAAATTGCTTCCTGATACTTATTTCCAGATCACATTTCGATGATTTAGAGTATGAATGGTGATTAGTGATTAATTTTGTAAATAGCTAACAAAACACTTCAGTTAAAGTTATCAGGAAACTTTCAAAAAGCTTTTACCAGTAAGTGGAAATATATTGAAGCACAAATACAGGGAATAACCCAAATTCATATAAAAGTGTTTTAATTCGTAAAAATAGGTCTTTACATGATTGTTATACTACCAGGAAATAAATTGTCCTGAAATTAAATAAAAGGAGATCTACACACTTTATTGTGACAGCATCTCTTTTTTAACCTGAAGATATCATCTTCGGATTTTGTTTAAGACACATTTTCTGTAACATTGATAGTTGAATGATCATAATCCATGTCGATCACATCTCTTGTACACCGTAAGTAGTGAAATTTAAGATATATTTCTATATATCATGTGAATTTGAATTGCGTGGGATAAAAGTTCGGTCAATCAGGCAATCTGTTTAAGTATGACATTGGACGTTTAACATTATTAATATCATAGAAGGGAATCTTTCAATACGTCATTATTGTCTTAAAACCATGTCAGAATCCTACTTTACGGAAACATTCTAATATTCAGCATTATTCTTGAGAGCTGTTGAAAACGCATCTAGAATCTTTAACTATTTAATAATGTCACTAGGTATCTAATCTCCTTTATAAAAAAAACTTACTTATAAATAATTTAAGCAAAGTCAACCACTTGAATCTATTTATAATTTTTTGTCAGTTGTTAAGGAAACTTCCATGAATTTTTCATTTTGAAATTGAAATGAATATTGGTAATTTTTTTAAAAAAATCTTCGAATTTTGAAATTTCTGGGACACTGGTGGAAATATCATCTTATCTATTTTCTACAGATATTCTGTCGGCGATTATATTTGTAATCTTCATCGTTTGTAACGCTGACTCTCAAAACGAAACAAGGTAATGAATGTTTCAACTATCTATAATCTCCTTTTTTTTTAATCCTGCAATGGTTGTAAAGTATTCTCCTATATAAAATAAGTTTTTGTCTTTTTCTATTCTTATATTGACGAAATACCTTTTGTTGTGTATTCATGTACCATATTAATAATAAGTTTGATTTGTTGAATTGCAGTTGCTTTTCCTTCTTTTATACTGATGAAAAAAGTCCAGCAAATTTGGAGAAGACCTGTTTTGAAATGACAAGTAGCAGTGTAAACAAATGGTACCAAGGTATTGTTGCTTAGACATTTAATTGCTGGATTGGGGGAAATGTGGGAAAGGGAGAAAAGTTTTGAATTTCAATCGACAAACACAATGAATATTTCTGCATCTACTATTGAATTCTTTTACCAGGTGTATCTATGTATATAATGCGTATTAACAATGAAAAGCCTTCTTCGTGTTCTTTTGGGGACATCAAACTGGAAACCATACAAAAATACATTATAGAAGAAGGAACCCGTCAACGAAGATTGTGTAGGACAAAGATGATTTTCTCCGTCAATACGACCACATGTGAAGACGAGATTAAATATCTTGATTTCTATTGTATTGGAAACGTTCAAAGATCAAAGAGCCTATTTTTCCAAGGTAAGACATAATTGGAATCCAAGGAGAAATTCTTAATATTTTTTTTACAAATAAATATACCCAGACATTTACGTTAGAGAATGAAATGTACTGATTACCTTTATTTTCAGATTGTGCTTCTGCAAACTGTCCTAGAGAAATGGATGAGAGTAGAGAACACCGAAGTGGTAAAAAAAATACTCACAGTTGAAATTTTATATCAATTTATTAATTTAAAATTGTAAGGATCTTTAACATGTTTTCATCAAAATACAGAGGCTCTGGTACTGTCTCAATTCCCTGAACCGACGGTTTCTCAGTCTGGATTATTTGCTTATGATATACCAGCGTCACATTGTGACATGAAGCAGTGTAGACTAGAGAACTGTTCTACTGAACAACTGAAAAAATTTAAGGAGAGTACTGTAGGTAAGTAAGCTTAATGCGATTTTCAAGCCCAGTCGGATGTTATCTTGCACGTTTATTTCCCCCATAGTGTAGTTGTGGCTGTATCAGTGAATGTTTTTGGATTATATGAAAATGTTTAGCTATTTATGGTAATTGATGTTCTTTTGTCACGTTTTATTTAATACTTGATGCTTATTCCTCCATAATACGTGATCCCGCTTCTAGTGTTTTTAGAGCCCCGTGTTTGTTCTGTTCCTATTTTGTATTGTTCTTAAAATAGAATTGCAAAATTACACAGAAAGCAAGGCGAACCCAACTAAAGACCAGAACAAGGAGTGTTTGCTTTTTACAATTGGAAGTGGAGGTGGTGGTCTTCTAGTCGGAATTTTATCAACATCTGTCACGTGTTTTCTTCTTAATAAATATAAGAAAAATTACAGGTTTGTATATTTTAATTACTTGCTTAAATCGATAATATTTATTGTATGTATGAAGAACTCTATCGATAGCTGCATGAGGTACCTACTTTCGGAGATCTAATTTGTACAAATGTTCTCTCTCTCTCTCTCTTTCTCTCTCTCTCTCTCTCTCTCTCTCTCTCTCTCTCTCTCTCTCTCTCTCTCTCTCCAAATAAAGCCATTATACATGTATTTGCGAATGCTAGAACAATGAATACTATCAAAGTTTATATTGTTATATTTTTGTGCATGATAAATTTCCTGTTTTGTAGAAATGTTGGGGAAGTGTCATTTTCCAAACAGAACGTTCATCTGTTGTCTGAGACAGAACGGAAACTGTCCATTCATTCAAAAGAGGGAGAAACTGTGTATCATGATATTTCCGACATCCCGGTTTGTCTTTATTATCATTCATTTGCAAGGCAATCTTTCTGCGACATTTATTTACTGATGAAAAGAAAATATACATGCAGTTGAAATTTCGAAACTTACTGATTTTTACTTTAGATGGTTGGTATATAGTATTTTTTTATGTTGCGAAACCGATCATGGAAGACTAGTGGTAGGGCGCCCGCTTCGTGATCGGGAGGCCCAGGTTCGATTCTCGTTCACGGCGCCGCGTCAAACCTAAGACGTAAACATGGGTAATGACTGTTCCTTCGCCAAGCGCCCGGCACTAGAAGTGAAAGTCAAAAAAGTCAAAAACCGAGGTCCCGTATCACGCTAGCCTTTGGCACGATAAAGAACCCTCACTGCTCAATGGCAATGAGTGCCGAGTATAAGTCTAGATTTGAAGCCCTTCACCGGTATATGGTGACGTCTCTATATGAGTGAAAAATTCTCGAATGGGACGTTAAACAACATACAATCAATCTATCTATTTTGCGGCATCAAATCCCTGTTATTTGTAATAATTATTCCTAAATAAAATCATTAATTAGAAGTTAAAACATATTGTCTATGAGTAAGCATTCTGTACGTGGCAGTTTTCGATTTATTTTAATATTTTCGATTTAAATTTGAGAATCTCATTGTTGAAATTTTTATAAAAGTGTCAGAGGACAAAAACCGGAGTTGAAAGGTACATAAATTCAAAACGTAAAGCATCTTCCAAATCTTCTCAAGTTGGAGTTTAAAAATACCTTAGATACGAAGCAATAATACCAATCATTTGTTATAGTATATGAAGATATTCTAGATTTGTTAATATGTCAAACTCACTGCAAGTACAAATAAACCAGTGTGTCTTGATAATCTTGCACTAATCTGAAAACAATTACATGGTAAGTTGCAATAAGAAATTCAATTTAAAAAACATGTTTTTGCACTCATTATCTGTATGAAGTTGGATTGTGTTAGAAGATTTAACCTGTAAACAATTTATCTATCAGTTTGCCTCTTGCTAATTTAAAATTTAACTCATATCATTTTGCAGGGTCCATCAAAGGAAAGAGTTATACAATACGGTGTATCTAACCTTCTGATTGATGATTCCCCAGAACAGCGGTATAGCGAGAGTCCAAAAAGCAGTACTAGTGCTTACGAAAATGGAAGTTCATCATCAGAGTTGTCAGCAAAGAGTGAACCTACCAAGGCGAAAGAAAAGCAAATGTTTGACAAACCTCAGTTTTATCATACATTGGCAAGAGATTATAAGGTCAGTTCTGGAAATGTGATCAAACCATCCTGTAAACAAGTAGATTTTACAGATACTGACAATAACCATAAGACAGAAACAAAGTCTACTAAGGAAACTAAACAATATTCGGTGTATGAGAGCCCAGTTGGTCAACATCATGTCTCAATTTCTCAGGAAGTAGAACAATTTTCTACCGATTTGTCGGATGATACTGTTGAAGATTTGTTAGAAACAGAAGTCAAAGTCTCGGAGAACTTACCCGGTGTTTATCACGCCTTAGAGGAGGAAAAAGGTCGCTATGTAGAGGAAATGTCGATAGAAATTGAAAGCAAGGCTGATCAAGATAAAAGAAGTTCAAACGGTACTAGTTCTCAGAAGGAATATTACGTGATAATGGCAAAATCACCAGAGAAAGAAAGCTCCTCTTCTGAGTCTTGATGTGAAAATTAATGCATTTTAATTTCATAACAATTGTTAATACAGTACATAATTGTACATTCTACGAGCAAAGTTGACAAAATTTCGCATTTTTCAAGCTTGGTTGTGTAAAACTAAATCTACCATTTCGTATTTATAAATTATCTTGATGAAATATTTTCAATATTATGTACCAGAAGTATTTAAAGGGAAAAAAATGAAGGTTACATTTATTTACATATCATTGTCAATAGAGTTTTTGGCATTTAGTTGCTTATCCAATCGGGACCAAGAAAGGAGTGTAGACTCTTGGTAAAGATTCGATTATTTTGATAGTAAGGCAATCTTTAGTAGAATGTTTGATTGTCGACTCATGAAAAAAAAATGGATAGGTACGGGGAGATTTTATTTTAATCAAAAGCACTTGCGAATATAAAGTTACATGTAAAATAGTTATTAATTGGATGAAAAAACTTTGGAATGGAAAAACAGATTCATTCCTGGAGAGTCGGGTCATTTTAGTTAGTCGAGTGGGAGAGGACAAAGGAACATTTTTTTTTAAAAAAGGTGACCTTATCATAGAATTATTTTTTCATATATTTCATTTTGTTTTAAGTTTTAAAAAGTCTGAATAACTTTTGAAAGAAATGATGTTAACTTGAATTCTCTGTTTTATGCTGGTTTACTTGTTGTCAAAAATTGATGATTGAAATGTCAAAATTAAATGTTAGACAAATTTGAGAATAATTGCTCTTTCTGGTTAAATTTTCTGGCTGTTCTTTTTAAAATTCATTTATATATATTTATATGAATATCATACATTGAAATGCATGCAGGGTTCAGTAATTTTTTGCTATAATAATAATTTCACACATTTTATATCTGACATCATTTACTAAAAATCTTTTACACTACCATCATTTCATACATACCTTTAAGTCAAGAAAAATGATATCATTATTAATTCCAAAACATCTGAAAAAATCTTATACATAAGAAATAAGCAATAACAAAAGAAAACATAAATCAAAAGATCTTACAGACTTTCATTTTTCATATGTAAATAATATCTCTATATTTCACATTTGTATATATGACCCTTGTTGCAGTGGTAATTTGTGTAAAAGTAGAGTCGATCAAACCCCACTGCTATGTGTATTAAGGGCCAGGTCACCCTCCATTATGGGTACTTCATTTACATTAGTGAAATAATAAAAAAGATATTTTAAAAAGAAAAAAAACTACGATACGTATTGTCAGAAAATCGGTTCCTCCTTATACTTAAGTGTATGCTTTTATCAGCTTTATGCTAGATTGTTTCTGCATTTGGAAAGTAAAAAGTAAAAGTTATAATTTCTTAAATAACATAGCATAGTGTAATCAATGTATGTTTTGATCGAAAATATTACTTAATAATTATGCAAATTGAAAACTAAAAATAAAATTAAGAAAAAAATATTTTTGATAAATATTTAAGTTAAGGCAATTAACATTATATTCATGTATCGCAAACTGAAAAAAAATTAAGCATACCTTTTATATTGGATTTTATTATTTCATCAGTTTCGAACTAGTGAAGAAAAATGAAATCTTTTGAACGGTGTCAATACTTTATATTGATTATATCTCTGAAGATTACTGCATAATCATCGGTTGTTAGACTTTATAACAAATAATTAAATTTGTTCTTGCTTGTAACAGTTTAGTCTGTTAGAAGAAAAGAATTGGTGTGCCTAAGTACATTGGAGCGATATGCATGTCCCAGGAATTTACCGTCTATGGTACATGTAATAGTATCATAAGACACAGCATTGCTTACCAAGAAAAATTGTACAATCCAATAAGTAATGGCTTTAATTACTACATGTTTACATTTCATGAGAAACATGCAAATTCAAATGCAAAAATTGAGTCAATGAATTGTTACTTAGATATAACAAACAGACCGATATTTTCGTTAAATGAATACCTCTACCATTTAAAAATCCGCTGAAAATATTCATTAGGGAAATTATCTTTCATAGTGGATGGTGCTAGATACGAGGGTGACTACTGAAGAGGACAGTCAAAATCAAATTTAAAATTAGATTTAGTATCATAGATATTAATTTTACTGCTCAATTTTTTTCCAAAAATCTTTCTACATGTATAATGTCTGCTGTTAGTAGAGTTTATTTAGATGTCATTTGCAAAAACTGTAAAGACTGTCACTTACTTGATATAACTGATGTTTGATGCGACTTCTGACGATTTTGGTCGGCTGAATAATTATCATTTTTTTGTTCTTTATGGGCCTATCATATTAATATGCAAGGTCACCCAATATACCTATATATAATTATATTCTAAATATTCTAAATTTCTTCTTGTTTTGTTGAATACTAAGAAAGTTACATCCATCTAAAATTTAAGCCAATCAAATTGCAGAAGACGTGCATGCGCATAATATATATCATAATGTAGAACCTCATTTTGTATGACCATGTTTTAAATTTTAAAATATTTCGTCAAAAAAAGAAGTTTATTGAGATTTTTTGTGTCAGTCATTCAGAGCGAAGCAAATGTGCATGCACGTGCTTTCTTGCAAATTCAACCGCCTCATATTGTCTACACCACTAATATGTGTTTATATAATAAGATTCAAAGCATATTCTCAAAAAATAGGAAGATTAAAGTTGTTTCAATTGTATCAATCATTTCACCCCTCGCACGCGCACGCACGTGCATGCAAGTGCCTTTGTTCAGCACATTTACACAACATGCCTGTTAACCCTAAAAATGCAGTCGATGAAGTAGTTTCCGAGAACACTCGCGGACAAAAAAAGTACCGGAGAAGAAATCTTGAAACAATGTGTTTCCAAACTTTGTTTGGGAAACATGATTAAGAATTAAGCCACTGACCTTACAAATTAAGTTGTTTTGGGGCGAAACGCTTTGGAATTTTATAAAAAGTTTTAACATTCATTTCTCCCACATTTTGACAATAGATTTGCAGTTTCATACAATGTATAAATAAAATTATTAAATAAAAATATTGAGCAGCAAAAGGAAGGTTGCAAATGTAATGCTATGTCATATTTAGCATAGTTAAGCGTTTAATTGAAAAACGCCCTTTTGATTTCCTATTTGAATTCAAATATTAGACACCGTGTTTATGTTCATGATGTGTTAGCTTCTTCGACGTCTATTTATGAATTTTCCAACTCATAATGACCTGGAATTGAAATAGTTGTAAATGATTCCATTCCATATTCTAAAATACAAATGTTGATGGTGCAATTAAACTAGTAGTTATATAGTAAAGAAACAGTCTTAGCTTTAATAAAAAAAAATACCATAGTTAGCTATTGTTTTCTATTGCATCGAAGTTTTTTTTTTACTATGGATTTCAGATTGTTATATTTTATTGTTCTTAAATTAATACGTGCACATATTTTGTATATAATGGAAATATTATTTCTATATTCACATATTATTTTCAAATTTTAAAGCACTGTCATCGAATTTAAGAGATTTTAAGAGAATTTAAGAGAAGTTTTTAAATCTCAAAAAAGTTCAAGAGTAAAGTTTCATAGTAAATCAAAGCACCAAAGTTTTTTCTATAGTTACCTATAGTAAACAATAGTTAACTTTATTATACCTCTGTGAATTTTTTCTATATAAAAATATGACGAATAAACATGCTATTTTTTCCAAACAGCTCCTACCGTGGAATAGTTTTTGTGCTATTTGCCCATGGTGAAATAGTCAATAAACTATTCACCGGCAGCATTCTGTTTCCCTCGCTTTTCATCTCGGAACTCTTCTGGTTTTACCCAGATTGTGACGTAACACAAGTAAAAACTGCTTCGGTATAATAAAACACCTATTTACTGACTATTCGGACAATAGCAAGTTTATCGTCCCCCCTCGACAGCAACTACTTCCCTCGGCTGCGCCTCGGGAAATAGTTGCTGTCTTGGGGAACGATAAAATTGCTATTGTCCTCATAGCCAGTAAATAGGTGAATAATAGTAAATTGTTTTTAGGGAGAGCTCTTAATATGAATTTTAAAGGAGAAACTCTTTTCATTTTCAATTTCAATTCAAATGTTAGAAACTTTGTCCATTTTATTACTATGTTCACTTAGTTCTTTCTTTTTGGCTCACTTGAGCCTTTCTGATCGAAGGGTGTCTGGCAACCATTTGTCGAGTGTCGTTTGTCGTCTTTCGTGTGTCGTCTGTAAACTTTTTCACATTTTCGATATCTTGTAAAGAACTACGCTGGGCGAATTTCAAGCAACCTTGCCACAAATCAGCCTTGGATTGTGGGAATTTAGATTGGTTCATATGAAGGGACACCTTTTTTTCTAGGGGAGATAATTAAGAATTAGTGAAAATTTAATGTCATCTTTTACAACTTTTCTTCTCAATAACCACTACGTCAGAAAGGATGAAACTTGTGTGAAAACTATATTACATAGGGTAAATTTATATAAAAATATATAACTAGATAGTGGGCGTAACAATGAAATGAAACCTTCTACACATGTATGTACTTTAAAAAATGTACTTTTTTTCTTCATGAATAATTTCCATTAACATTCATGTGAAATTATGAATCTTTTGAAGATACTGATAATCACAACAAATTCAATGTAAATAATTCTTATTCTTTAATTACATTTATATATGTATATTTGTGTAGGCAATAGAAACATTGCCTACACTTATCATTGCTGATAATATAAAAATCAATTATCCTAATTTTTATTTCAGTAGTGGGTGTTGTTTAATATTGGTTTTGTGAAACGACGACCATTATTAAAATAATTATTTTATTTGTGAGCGTTATTTCAATAGCGATTGTTATCTGGTTTTGGTTTTGAAATGCATTCTCAACCACTTTTGAAATTATTATTTCAATAGTTGGCGTTATTTCAACAATTGTCGAAACACCCGGGGCTATGGCGCGGGCGAAATCGGCGATTAAAGTTTTACATAGGAATTTATTGGATAAAACTTTTAAAAAAAAAATTCTTC